GGAACATAAATATACATATATCGTCATACAGTACTGACTGGCCAGTTACTCCACTTAGTAAGGGATCCCAACTAGTGACTGCCTTCAATGTACAAATTTTGAAATATTCGAGGAAAATCAGATAATAAGATAAAGGCAAATGTTGTAATAAAAAAATGACATGTCGATAGATGAACAATGCATAAAAAATTAAACAATATAATAAATCAACAAAAACAATAGATGGGATCAACGTCGTTACCCAATGACGGCTTGAAATGGATGACAGGTTAACGACCATACAAGCCAGTTAATTTAAGAAACATTAATTATCTTAGCGATTGGCAGATTATCACACCGTTATAGTATGGTATATACAGGCAAATTTCGGGTAATAGAGATGGTTGAAGAAATTTTTGCTGTCGTAGGAAACAACAGTGAGAATACAAATCAACCCTGCGAGTCAGGGACATTACATTTTATTGTTTTTACGTTGAATAGCACAGTCCTTGGAAATGGCACATCAAATCAAAATTATTAAGTGATTGACCAAATTAATAAATAGAAAACATCTGATTATGTTCCTAAAACTGAATTACTTTAGTTAGGGATATCTAGCAATTGGATATTGACAACATTTACATGTACTATAATATCAACATTTACGTCTTTGGAACATTCAGGTCAGCATGCCACCATATTAATGTCAGGAATGAAGATGAGTGGAATCAATAATAATGTTTGTCATATGGCTGGTTACAATGGTCTAATATGGTAATGGCACCTATAATCCAATCCCATTTCAGCTTTTTGATCAGTAAAATAAAATATTGACGTTGTTACTTTGGTTAATATTATTGGGGCTCTATTGACTAATCCATGATGTTTCCTGCACAAAGTCTGAAACTATTTCGTTGAAGAGGTACCTGTTCTTTCTAATGAATACAGCAACGTATTGTCCCTTACACAGGTGAAGGGTATTTTCGACATTGCGATTGACATTTTGATACAGACCCATGTTATAAACAGTTTGCCCCCCCCCCCCCGGCGTAATAAAGATTAAATGGATCATATTTGTCTAAATATATTTATATACCAGACATGTACCATGATTTAGACAATATCCTCTCCCGCCGATTCGCGTAATACAAAATAAAGTAATCAAATTTGTCTAAAAGTGACATACCGGTAGACCGAATGGCTGCCACATTCCTATGGTCTTTTCAGAACATTGTAAGGTATAATTTAAACAGATGGTTATTTTTCTGCTTAAAAGCTTGGACAGGTGATTCTGTTCATGGCTACTGGTCCAAATTTACCTTTAATCCATTTCTTCGTCTTCTGAACCCCAGTCCTAAACTGTGGTTTCATTTATCTGTACAACTAACTTTGTATTTGTAAAAATAATTATAACATAAATCGAAGTTTTTACAGATTACTCCCACTCCCAACAGGTGGTTGGTATGTTGATATGTTATCGTGTATGTTTTTCAGCCTGTAGTTAATTAGTAGTATAATGTGATAACCCAGTCCTAATTGATAGTAATAACACAATTTGCCGAATTCTTTGTGTACGTTATGATCTACATGGTGGACTTTGATGGAATGTCCCGTCCTCATTATCCCGGTTGGAGCGTTAAACCCCATTACATTCATTCACTGATTAAAAGTAGTCCCGGAATATACGAATAGAAGTGTATTATGACGCTTCTGTAATGATTCAATGTAATACTATAGATACAAGAATACGTGATAACACTGCTCGTTTGAGGAATTCACACGTGTAACTGGCATAATGGTCTGCTTTGGCATGAAATCGTACTCTCGGAATATTCAAAAAGAAATATATCATGACGCTTCTGTAATTATTCATTGTAATATCCGATATAAGAGTACGTGATAACACTTCTTGTTTGAGTAGTTCGCACGTGTAGCTAACATACTGTTCTACCTTACCCTTAAATGGTGATATGTGTAGCTGTTTCTCGATAGGAGATCCTTAACAGGGATAATGTGCTATGATTTACGCCTATTATGCAAGTTGACTGACTGTTTTTTTTCGCAAATATTGGTTTTCTAAATATGACCATACCGGTTATGTTAATTCTACAAATAATATTTATGTGCCCGATCTCTAAAACAATATTTTCTGCATTGTAAATAACGGCACTATCCTCCACTATTTGGAATGACGAACTGCATTGACGCCATTGACATCAAATGTTACCATATAGAGATTCAAATATTTGTTTCTATTGCTGGCAACAAACACAACATTCGATAGAGAATCTGAAGTAGATATTGATAATCAAACGTTCGCACTAAAGTTCTCCATTCCTTTTGGACTTTAGTGTTGTGCAATATTGCAAAGCTATATCGATTTGTCGAGAATAGAATTACCTTAAAATAGATCGCCATTAGGAAGTTTCACAGAAACAAGACGTGAGTTCTCCATGGTATCTATTTCAGGAATAGTACTGGTATTGAAGAAACCATAAGAAAGGAAATAATATAATCAATTAATCTTGTCCAGTTGCCATTCGAAATCGTAGAATTTAAATTCGTAACTATTTGGGGTTTCAATATGTTGTTTTGCCATAAATATTAATAATTAATTATAAGTAATAGCCGAAAATCGGGAGCATGCCACGAGTTGCAGTTGTTTTACCTTGATATTTAAGTAATGGATTTAATGTATGCGTATTTCTACTGAAATTGTACTGACACTAGTTAATAGGCCTATTGATTAAAACCTACATTGTATTTATCTTATATCTACATCACATTCCTAGCATATTTCTTACTCATTATGTTATATATGTAATGTTTTCTGTAGAGGAACTAAAGCGAGTCAATATGCTGGTTTATTGATTAGCCGAACAACTACCCAGAATGCTTGAGGGAATTACTCCTATTTCTAACATTTCTTCCTCTGCAAAGGCAATCGCAAATTTTAACCCAGTTTTTAGTATAGGTTAAACGCATTGCGCTGGATAAGTGTATTTTAAAATGGTAGGACCGAACGTAACTCAAATATCCCTGTTTTACGTATAATTTGACTAGTTTGTGACTGAAAACAAAATCTTTACATTTTTATATCGTTATTAACAGTTGCCATAAAAGAGCATTTCAATATAATAGACCCCATACACTACAGGGTCCAAGCGCCAAAAGTCTACCGTCATGAACAACCATTTACATGTACTGACCAAATTAAGGAACGGGTTAATATTTCGGCCAATAAGTTAGAGCTAGCAGGCAAGTTTAATCAAGCATATGACTGAAATGAGGGGCTGAAATCTGGTTACCGGTAATCAAAGATGGTATGGCAAAGTGGAGTTTGAGCATCTATCTGGCCTGACAGAGTATGTCGATTTACATGAATATCAACATGTTTAGGTAACCAATCTGTTTGGGATACGAAGCAATGCATTTAACGTATAAGTAGCTGTATAGTAGGCAATGCAAAATTACAAAAAAGCATCATCCATTTTCAAGTAATGACACTCTAAAATTCTCTAAGTATATACATAATTCAGTGCATTTACAATACATTACGCCCTAATACGAACCATTATAACAATGGATTGAGAAAATCTTATAATCTTTAACGTAAGCTATAACCTTCCTAAACCCCAAGTTGACTTTTTATTCTGTTTGTTTGTTGGAATTTCCCCCCTGTTTTGAACAAATCGTGTTTTAGCTGGCTGTTAACTTTCTTAAGTAGATTGCCGTCTTAATCCCTACTTTAACAAGAAACACACGTTTTACAAGTAACTCGTCATGCTCATAAACAAATAGACATACAGTCCGAGAAATCATTTCACTATTTTTCTACCGTAATAATAAGCGTCATTTATAATTTTGCACAAAATAGGCGTATATTAATAATAGGCATGTATACATTCCTTTTATATGTCGGTCGATTTTGGCGCCATGGCATAAACGAAACTATCTTTCAAACGTTTAGTATCTTATTTAAAAAATCATTGGTATTTAAAACACATAGATCAAATAACCTTGTTTGTCTGTGATAACACCCTCGGTGGATGCAGACGTTAAGTCCCACGAACGAACGATAATAGCACTGACAGATTGTAAATAGTATATCCGTCATGTTTGTTTGGTGTGATGGAGAAATGAGCTTATTAGGTTTCATTGAACGTTAACAGGATCCAATGGGTCCGTATAATTACAGCAAATTGGGTTACATTGATTAACATAGTTCTGAATACAAGTTGTATGGTGATATGAATACGGGGTCACGATGGCTATATGGGTAAGACGCTGGCACGCTAGCCTGGAGGTCGGGTATTCGATCCCTGCATTGGCCGGGATTTTCCGGCGTGGTCCCCCCTTGTCAGTGATGCAGGACAGAGAGCCAGCTGTCTAGTCGTTCGGATGGGACGAAAAACCGAGGTCCCGTGTACACATTGGCGTGCACGTAAAAGATCCCTTGACAGCCGGTATTCGATATAAGAGTAGGTCGTAGTGCCGCTGTCCGGACAAAATTTCCCTCATAGCACACTGTATGGCGCATGCCCGTCTTCAATAGCCCAGTTCGGAGCAGAACAATAAGACGTTAAACCCCATTTCATTCCATTTTATTCCATTTGATATGAATACCCTTTGCCTAAATGTTGGTGGAATTCGCGAACTTAATAGGTAGCAATTGTTTTATAGTTTCATTTTTCTCATCAATAGCCAATAGATAGTTTCTGCAGTAAATCAGATCGGCTTTTCCAGCAAGTCTCCTAGTAGAAACTTGTCTAGGTGGAAGCGGACATATAACTTCGGATAAATTAATCAAATCGCATTGGTATCGGCTCACGTTCGTTAGACAGTACACATTATGACCTTGGCTTATAGAATGGTTCATTCAGAAAGATATACATACCAGATTTGAGACAATTTATACGCTCTTCGTGCATGGGTTTTGTTGAATTTAATTTAAAGTATGCTTTTTAGCCCATGGTTATTGTTGATTGTGGTGTATTTACTATTCTGTTTGTATATTTCAGTTTGGAAAGCCGAGATAACCCATTTCTACCAGGTTCACCATTAGCCAAAGAAACCGATGACTTACTGAAGCGAGCCACCATAATCCGAGATAAATTCTATTTAGATAAAGATGGAAATCGTGTAGAGGCTCCCTCGAGTCCAAATGGAATAAGGGATACGGGAGATCATCTCGCTGATAATGCCAAAGCCGTAGTAGACGAGGTTATTGCCTCAGTGCAGCAGGGGGTAAATCAGGCTGCAGCGCCTGCCCTTAACAGTCCTTCAAAGGAAAATGGTAAAGTGAAAGATTTAGTTACTCCCGAATCTGTGAAATTGGATCTAAATGATAAGGACCAGGCCATTGATGGCAACGTAACTGATAAACCTTCTTCTCCCAAGAACAAGAAAAAAGAGAAAAACAAATGTTGCACGATAATGTAGCCTAGTGATTTGTTGCCTATATTTGTTTTATATATAATTTATGGAAGCATTCGACGAGCCTGTTAAATAGATCTGATACGTGTTAATATTAATGGGCTGTCGTTATTTCCAAAGGTATGAAGTGTATGTGAAATAATATTCTGTGCTTCTCGAGAATATCAGACCGAAGTGTTGGGTTAATGGGAGATAACTCTCGCTATCGGATTTAGCACTACGGTCGGTTAGCAGACGCCACTTTCCTGTAGCGTGTCCCGCCAAATTCGGTTGAATGGATCCAGCTCTCCCGCCAAGTAAACTATGCATAAAGAAATACAGTGGAAAAGTGGATATATTTGGGGGTAATTTACTCTTCACGCGGAATGTAACAAAATTTGATACATACCTTCCAATGTGGACGCTACCAGTGATTTTTCTGTAGATAATTATGAACTTTTAGTGCAATCAATAAAATTATACCATATGTATGAAGTGCTGAAATGCTGGGATACAATGGAAGGATTCTTTGTAAAATGTACATTTTATTTCAGAATTAAGCGTCATATAATATATTTTTTTCTTTCGATATACATGTATATCTCATTATCAAACGTTCCTGCCCTAATTTGGTTCGTAAGATGGTGAAGTACTAGACCATACATGATTTTCGTAATGCCAACCACATCTCAGCGCTTTTTCTTTGATTCTTTCTATGTTTATATTGATAGATTTTTTTATGTTCGCAAGGTATTATAGCTGAGCCGTTTATAAACGAATATATCTAATGGACAGTACAGGGGAAATTGGTTGAACCATTTGAACTTGTAGGAAATTTTAAAAATTGCTTTATTTTATGTAAATTATGATTATATATGTATAAAGTAAAGCAACTATTTCTTATGCCAATTATGCTTATAATTTAAATTAAAAAATCCCGCACAATCTGATCCTGCTTTCGATATATTATTTTTAAACTAGAAACACACTATGCTTGAGTGCACATGTTAAAGTTATACTTTACTGTTTAAAGGGAACAGCTTACACTGTCGGGTAATAACAATAATATTAGCATTATGCTTCTGTGCTTGAAAACAAAGAGAAAACGGGTTCATAAATACATTGCATATTTTATATAACCCTTTGTTTGCTTTTAAGTGTATCAAATGATGGAGGCATACATGCATCTTTGGAAGGATCTACTTCGGATAGGTATTTATCTGGGTTAGACTAACTTAAACAAGACTACCTTAAACAAACACACTGGTATGTATATGTAAAGAGCCTATTTATACCAGTTAATTGTCTGTCATGGGTACTGGGTGTACGTGTTCAGTACATTTTAGAGTACATTTTAGACGTTCTGGATGCAGATCGGAAACTGGGGGTGAAGAAGAATAAATAACACACTTGTCAGATTCTGCCCTGATCTTCCAATCTTTCCCGTAACCCCTGATCCATAATAACATAAATTTGTGAAATTCTTGCATTATGTAGATTCTTACGATGCATGACAACTGAGTAAATTGCATAACTTTTGTAAATGAATCACGCTACCATAAGATACACATAAAGTGGTGACGTGTCTGACGTTTGGGGCAATGGACCTTATTAAAAAAATATATCATCCTTTTTATATGAGAATGCATGTCAGATAAATAGTGCTGTATTTTGTGGGGTATACAACCAACAAGATAAATTTGTAGTAAAATTTATTCAATTTTGTATTATATGAATGTATAAAAAGTACATTATAAATAAATGAACTTTGAGTATAGAAATGAACTTTTGATGAGAAAAAAGACAAGGCTTAGCTATTATGATTATTTTATTTTTTTTTTTGTAGAAGGAAAATTTGTTAATTTATATCGGGTATGTCCTTATATTAAATGTAACCTTGTTTTTCCTTTCTTTTCTTGGGTTTTTGTTTCTTTGAAAGCCGCCATAATGAGTAATTATTTGTTAATGTATTTTGGACTGTATATAATATTGTATTGATATATATATATGTAATCACTGTGTGCTTATAACCCAGTGAACGGCTTTAATCATACGATTCTAATAACTCAGTTGTTGGCTAATTTTATTAAATATCATCACATAAACATGACTATTGTTCTATTGATTTTCTTCCAATATCTGTTCGTGTTGATTACCATCTGCACACCGTAACAAAAGTAAACAAACAAGAATTTGGTTTGACCAATCATGTAAAGGCCATGATTACGTATTTGCCTAAAATAAGATGTTACTTATAAATGGACAGATATCCTGCAATAGAAATCATTCAAATACTCCGTGGCTACATTATGGCTGATCTGAACCTCTTTTGTTCAAACGTAGGTCTGTTTGGAGCCTTTAAAATTGCCTTTCTGTGTCTAAGGTTTTGAACTAAAAGCACAACCAGTTCACCACTCCGTTGGATTTATTATGGTGGAAACGACCTATGATTCTAGATGCCAAAATTCTTTACGAACCCTGTTAACGAGAAACTTAATCTCTGCGAAAGACAATTTTGAATGAAGTCGAACTATGGGTTAGGACGCCCTGCAAGCACTCTCCTCGCTATGCATAGTCATTTCTTTTGGACAATGTTAATCTCGAGGCAGTTATTAAACGTTTCGCAAGACGGAAAGCTAGAGGCAGAGATAAAGAGAGAGAGAGAGAGAGAGAGAGAGAGAGAGAAATTTGGTTTAACGTTCACTCGACATATGGTTCAATTTTATTTCAATAATTCGCTTGCGCGTAGGGGTATTTAGCAGTGAGAGGAAACCGGAGAACCCAGAGAAAATCCACGTGATGGAGAGGCGACCCTACTCCTTGTCACGTACAACCAGGGAATCGAAACCACGCCAGTTGACTCAATGACAGACCGCGTGATACAGCGCGCACGTACTAACCATTCGGCCATCCAATCCCCCATAAGTTGAATGAAACTTGTAATAATTATATGTCTGTTATGTTCATCGTTCAGTTCCAAAATTGTGCCACGACCCTTCCTTGATTCCGTCACCAACTGGCTACATTTGTTGCGATCACGAGAAGACAAATCGTTTCTGAGTTAACCTCCCCACCCCTTAAACCTTGTTAACGCGATAGAGGATATAGTTTTTTATACGCCCACATTGAAATGCGGTCGTATATCGTCGTCGCTCCCGTCCGCCCGTCGGTCCGGCGTCCATAATTGCTTGTGGACGCTCTCGAGGCTAAAGTTAATATCCGATTGACTTTAAATTGATACACGGTGTTTAAGGTCATCAGATGAAGAAGCCGATAATTACTGTCAGAGTTGTGGCCCTTAATATCTTTGAAAAATCTTTTGACGCTCTAGGGGCTAAAGTTAATATCTGGTTGACTTTAAATTTATACACAGTGTTTGAGGTGATCCGACGAAGAAGCCTATTGATTTTCAACGATTTCTGATAATTACCGCCAAAGTTATGACCCTTGATCACTTTGAAATATCTTGTGGACGCTCTTGAGGCCCTGGATCATTTAGTAAAATCTTGTGGACCCTCTCCAGGCTAAAGTTAATATCCGATTGACTTTAAATTTGTACACAGTGTTTAAGGCCATCAGACGAAGAAGCCTATTGATTTCCAACGATTTCTGTTAATTACTGCCAGAGTTATGGCCCTTGATCACTTTGAAAAATAATCCTGTGGTCGCTCTAGAGGCTAATGTTAATATCCGTCTGACTTTAAATTTATACACGGTGTTTAAGATCATGAGACGAAGAATCATATTAGTTTTCAATGATTTCCGATAATTACTACCAGATTTATGGCCTTTGATCACTTTGAAAAATCTTGTGGATGCCTTAGAGACCATACTTATCATATGATTGATTTTATATTTATACACCGTGTTTACGCCTATATATAATCGTTTCAATTGACTTTAATTTGATACACAGAGTTTTAAGTTCTTGAGACTAACAAGTATATTGATTTTTGATAACTTGAACATCTAAATCCATGATATTAAATGTTTTGCATTCTAAACGTTAACATGGACCAAACAAATTCTAATGATTTTCTGATAATTACTTACTTAATTACTTATTATAAATGTTTCATTACCCACAAAAGTAAAAATATGCGATAACTCTTGTTGACTGTCTGGACGATTTAGCTGCTGTGGGCGTATGTTTCGTTGCCCAGAACCTATCTTAATGAATTGTTTTTATACGCCCACATTTCCATCTGTCCGTCCACAATTCGTTTGTGGACACTCTACAGGTCACAACATTATTCTTATCCGATTTTGACGAAACTTTAATAATGTGTTTAACTCCAAAAGATCTCAGTTCCTTTAGATATTGGCATGTATTGGATCGAAACTTCATGGATTATGGCCCCTGATTATAGGAAAAATCACGTGTTTAGCTTATGGACAGTCTAGAGGTCACAATTTTTATCCGAATTAGATGAAAACTGAAATATGTTTATAACCCAAAGATCTCGGTTCCTTTCGACATATTGGACCACAACTGTCTGGATTATGCCCCTTGATTGTACGAAAAATCGCGGTTTTAGCTTATGGTTCCCTTAGAGGTCACATTTTTTTTATCTGATGTAAAAAAACCCGTTCAAATATATCACCATTACACCGTATTTCGTGATAATCGGACCGAAAATGCCTGACAAAATGGCAGCT